TGACTATCACGGACAGTGGACTCGTGGTGACTTGGTGGAAATGTCCGAATGTGGGATTCGAAAATAAACGTAATTACGACTTACGTGGACTAAACAACTGCGGAATGAAGGAGACGTGGTTAATTTCCTTGCTTTCAAGGGACTAGCACACTAGCATTTGTTTACTTAGAGTAAAGTCTAGATGCAATGCATATAATTGCAAATTGCAAAAGTATAATTGTTTGTTTGTTGCAATTCTAGTTCAGTGGAATTGGAAGAGTATATTTTTTTTGCTAATTAATTTAAAAAAATGTTTTAATTTATTAAAGAATTTTATATTAAAAATTGTAATTATAATTTTAATATATCTAGAAGCGTGTTTTCATAATTATAATTCTATTAGCATTTTTTATTATTTCATTTTTATTTTAATTAACTTAAAATATAAGAATAAAATAATAAAATATATAAAAAATTATTCACATTTTTATGGAGTAGCTATAGCCCTGCATTGTATCACAAGCATCCGTCTCTGGAGCATGGCTCCATACGCCATTTAAAAGGCAAGCAAAGTGTAGGAGTCCCTGCGTCACATTAACACAGACTTGACAAATGCGACAAAGCAGTAGAAAATAGATGGAATAAAGGGTCCTATGTGCCATCCATTCACATTTTAATGGAGCCAGTTCTACCTATACTTGCTTCATTCCATTAACATCCCTCGTTATAATTCTTTCATACCCTTGTATGATTTATGTGGTTTTATAGAATATATTGTAGTATGTTTGTTGAAAAAGAAATTAATGTATACTATATCATACTATTATATTGTAAACTTACAACATTTATAGTAATATAATTTAATATCTGTTAATTAACAAAAGCTATACACTCATATAAAATCTTAATTTATATTTTCATTATCAATAAATTCAAATTTTAAATACTTTTTAAATATAAGTTTTTTTTTATACTTTATATTGATTTAAAAATGCTTGTACATATGCACTCCTTCGATCTGAACTTACATATAAATAAAAGCTTAATTTTTGATATTAAAATATAAATATATTTTAATTAAATCAATTTCATTTAATATTCTTAATTTAAAATTATTCCTAAGATAATAATAAATAAGAGTATTATTTATTATAAATATTGTTAAATATATTTTTAAAAATGTAATGTATATTTTATATGAAATTGTAAAAATTAAGTGCATTTATTTGGCTTTTTTAACATATGTGAAATTGATTTCATTTTATTTTATTTACTAATATATAAGTTTAGATGGAGTAATTTTTTTTACTAATATAAATTATTAAACACTGGTTATTCATTTCAATACTTTCTTTCAGGAAAAAAATTCAATCATATTTTATTTAATATAATTTAGTAACTGGTACTTTTTTAAGTGACATAATTAATAAGTAAACCTATTTTATTTTTTAGAAAAAGCAAACCTTGTTAGGTATGAGACATTTGGTCAAAGCCCCACTACGAGGAGTTTCATTTATAATTTTTCGCTAATTAATAATTAGCTAGCCATTGTTTTCCTCAAGAAAGGTAAGCCTATGTTTTTTTTTTTTTTTTTCACATGCTTCCCAACATGGCTTCGCCTCGTTTAATTTTCTTTCTATTCACTAATTTAATTGAATTAAAATTTAAAGAATATGCTTGAATGTGGTAGAATCCAAACTTTGTAAAACTATAGAAGGAAATATTAACAATTAAATATGATTATTCTTAAAAAAGTGAACTTTAATTTGCTGATAAAAAAGAAGTGAAGACTGTGGAGCTTATCATTGACTTTATGGTTCAAATTGGTTGCACATGGATGAGTAATGATATTCCTTAATACATTATTATATCAAAAGGTAATATATAAGTTAGACTTTTTTTTTTGTTACATATAATTTTTTTATAAATAAATAGTAAATAAGAAAGACACTGCATAAATTACTGGGTAGAGTCAAACTTCATACATACCATTCTAGCCAGACACCCATAACTCATCTCGGAAAATATTGGAAAATTAAAAATGTTTCAGAGTGAATTTAACAAAGTTAATTAATGTAGTAAATACTTTTGTAACTGTCTAGATGAAATTAAAAGAAGGCAAAGCAACATTTTAAAATTAAGTGTATAACTGAAATAAGTTAGCAATTTTCTAAGTTCCTGTCACTTTTTTTGTGTGTGTGTGTGTGTGTGTGTGTGGGTGAGCATCTAAGAGCAACTCCAATGGGAGTTGCTTGTCCCATGAAACAACTCAAGCCCTGATTTTTTACTATTGGAGGACTCTGACGTGACAACATGAGTTGCTTGAAGAAGAGAGAAAGTTGTTTTCTCAAGCAACCGTTCCTTACCAGATTTCAAGCAGATCTTATTGTTAGGAACGTTTCGGAAATAATAATGATAAAAATTAATTTCGTATAATGTTTATGTATTTACTATTGCTTTATTTTATTTTTAATATCTACTTATTGTGTATTTTTTCTCGTAATTTATTTTCTTTTATTAAAGTTCAATTATCCTTTTTAATAAAAATTTAAAATTGGTTCATAAATGATTAGAAAAAAATTCTAAAAGTTGAATTTCTTAAAGTTTCTTACCATTAGAATAAATTTGTGTTTGAATTGCTTAATACTGACATGACACACTAGGGACCACTTTTTTCATTTTTCAATGCATAAAGCAACTCAAATGAGTTGCTTCCATTGGAGATGCCTTGCCTATGACTAATTATCTGTTAATTATGATTGGGTCTAAATGGACGTTATAATATAATAATATAAAATAATAAAACATCATAAATTAAATATATCCCCATAGTAAAAGAATATGTAAAAATGTAGATTTACAAAAACAAAAGTAAAATAAGATGTTTATATTCTTAATAATCATTTATTTCACGATTGGGTATATTAAACTTTGTTTGCGTTTTGTAAGACGAAAACGGTTTTTTACTTTCAATAACAAAGACTAACGTACTTGGTAATTGAGATTCACTTGTATGATATATATCGGATATCAACGGTAAGAAGTTTATAATGAAAGCTACTTACTTTTATATAAAATTAAGTTTTCAACCTTAACATAATAACATATATTTATACTTATTTATTTGTGTATATTTGTCATGTAATTATAATATGTTATATATTTTTTATACTTCATTTTAATTATAAAAAAAAAAGTCATATAACATGCAGAATATTTCCTAATTTTTCCTTTGCATGATATAAAGAATTTTCTATACATAATTATTAGTTGATCATCGTGCTATTAATTATATATATATATATATATATATATTACGTATAATAAATTAGATATTTTTGATTATTGTCAACTTTGTAACACTATGTAAATGATGTTTATAAATTTTTATAAAAAAAAAAAGGTACGAACAGAAGCTATAGAGCATGCTTCTGAAGCATGCAGCCAAATGAAGAATAGATTGGGCATAGCACACCCACATAATTACTAATGATAAATACAAGTAGTTTAATTTAAAATATCTTAGGTTATAGGCTAATCATCAAAAAGGACATGGAGCTCCTCCCACCTGTAATGATCATCAGAATGTGCAACTGATCAATTCATATGAACTTTTTTCCTTTCCTCCTTTGGGTTGATAAAAAAATAATGAGAAAGACTTGTAGATAAAAATTTATATGGATTCTATATCTTAATAGATTGTGTGGTGTGTCTATTTGTGATAAGTTCATGTACAATCCCATAATTTGATACAAAGGGTCACATGCAGCAACTTTGGACTATATGGGGTTTATTCCTATGCGTTCTGGACACAATATTATAATCTATTTTTTTTGCTAATTCTAAACAAAGCAGAACTAATTTGATTGGAGAAATAATCATGAAATGGGGTATCTAGGAGAACATGCTTATCATTAGTCATTTGGATTTCTAATTATGCCACCCACTATTAATATAATTCTCTTTTCTGACCCAAAAAAAGAGTACACAATTACATATTAATTATTATTTTTATTACATCCCCATTTTCTCCCATCATTTGAAACTCATTTCTCTCAAAATAGTTTCTTTGGCCAGCAGAGAGATCCTGCATTTTACTAATGACCATTATTAACAAAATTAATTACTTTAAATTGTATACTTTTTCATAAAAAAAAATTAACCCGAATTTTACATAAATAAATTGCAGTTTGTGAATGCTAATTAACACCCCTTTTAGGAGTCAGTGATGGATTCTGTTACCCAGTCCCCTTTCATTGCTCCTTTTTCCCTTTCTGCTAGATTAGATTACTCAATTATGAGACCACTGTATGGCAGATCATGAAAGCTAGAACTTGCATATGTAATATATGTGTGGATAAAGCAATAAAGCTTCAAGGTTAAAAGGAAAAAGCACGTGTTGAGAAGTTTACTCTCAAACACAAACGTTCATCCCATTTTATGCAAAAGAAGCGAGATAAAAATATAAATATAACCATTATACTAAAAGATACAGTACAATGTAATGAGTTAAAAAGATAAAATACATACATGCATTTGTTTTTTTTTTTTTTTTTTTTTTATACATAAAATAGAATAACATTAACAGAAAAACACTTTCAATTAATACTACATGATAAAATGTCAAATGACATATTGAAATTACCAGCAAAAACTTAGAGAATTACCCTACAAACAAAATACATGTATGCTTATAAGATAAATACTAATATTAAAAATTAAAAATTTATAATTCTATACTAATATAAGATAAAATCATAAAACTTTGTCGCTCTCACAATAATCCTACACGTGGGAACAAAACTATCTATTATATGATATATTTGTGGTTAATAGATTAAAGAAAAAAGAAAAATTCCTCTATAATCTAATTATATTTTGCATTAATGATAGTAGAAGCAAGGGTAAAATAAGAAATAGAGAAGAAAGTGAGGGCAGAAATGAGAATTGGGGCTACCAGGGTGCATCTTATTTAAACCAGTGACTCATGCCCACAACAAAACAAGCCAAAAGAGAAAGGAAAGACTTGGTTTGGTAGAGTACTATTCGAGCACGGGACAACGATGAACCCGCGCGTGACGACGTCGTCTAAGGCGAAGAAGAAGGCGGAAGAGAGCCAAACGGCGTGGGGAGGGAGGTACCTCGGGGTGAGGCGGAGGCCTTGGGGAAGGTACGCGGCGGAGATCCGCGACCCTGCCACCAAGGAGCGCCATTGGCTCGGTACTTTCGACACTGCCGAGGAAGCCGCACTGGCTTACGATAGAGCCGCACGTGCCATGCGCGGCTCACGTGCGCGCACTAACTTTGTCTACGCTGACACCACACCCGGCTCCTCCGTCACACCTATCCTCTCGCCCGACCAACCACCGCTCATCCAACCCGACCCTCTTCTCACGGTCGACCCGTTTTCCCTCCTCGGGATTCCCTCCGGTTCTTGTTCCTACGGTTATGAACATGAACGTGCCTCTGCCAGCGTGGCTAGTTCCCAGTTTAGCCAACAAGTGTTTTTCACGGATAATAATAATATTAATGATAATGATATAAATAATAATAATAATAATAATAATAATAATAATAAAGAAAGTGGTAACACGATAGAGCTTCCTCCGTTGCCACCGGATATTACTAGCTCCATGGGTTACGAAACGGAACAGGGTTATGGATTTTATAATAGTGATATTAGTGGGTTTAATTATAATTACGTGGAGGATAATTACTCGCTTAGTCCAATGTTTGGTGCAATGGCAGAGAATGTGGATGCAGGGTCTCAAGTTTATGACTTCGGAAGCTCCTCCTATTTCTTTTGATGCTTCCTATGAAGCGTTTGTGTCTGTGTTCAGTGGGTTTTTTTGTTTTACGAGAATAGACATTTTTTGTTTGTTTGTTTTGTTTGGGTTGTTGAATGTGTGTCAACTCGAATGGGAAAATATTGTGTTATTTTAGAAGTGAGAAGTTTGTTTTTGTGCGTGTGTGTGTGTGTAGTGGGAACTGGGATGTGTAAAGTGTTGTATTGCGACTTGCGAGCTCTCCGTGGAGACGCGCGCAAGGGGTACGTACGGATGAATCATATCATGGTTTAATTTACGTTACTTCTCTTCACTTCTTTTCCCACTCCATTCACCTTATTATTATTTTTCTTTCTTTTTCGTCAAATTATATGAAGGAAAAATATACTTAGATATCCAACACAGAAAAACAAAACTAAAAAATAAAAATATGATAAGTGATATGTTAGGATAGGAAGATGAAATTAAAAAAAAATAGATGTGTTTAACAAATATGTTTATAAGTTGATAATTGAAATTTATAATATTTTTAGCTAAAAAGCTGAAGTATTGACATTGAAAATATTAATTAATGAAAAAAAAATTTCGTTACCAAGAAGTATTCCATGTCAAATGGGACATTTGGGAAGATAAGAATTTGAATTATCCCAAGTTGATATATTAATTAATGTCTTATTTTTGAGTAAAATGATAGATGAGAGATAATAGTAAGAATTAAGGATCCTCAAACTAAATATTGATGTTCACTTAATTATTAGCCAAAATTTAGTAATCTTTAATTTAACTTAAGATTTACTTACCGAATAGACCAACACAAGTCCATTAGAGAAATTCTAGGACCAAATCGTATAAAATTTGTGTCAACTCACAATGGTATATGAGTATTGGAGATGCCACTAATTAATGTCTAAATTATAAGTTAGGAGCTCAAAGTTATAATATTTACATTGAAAACATTAATTAATGTGTAGACATTCAAAACTTTGAAGTTACAAGTTTATAAAAATTAATTTTAATTTATGAAATAATTAATTATGATTTGAATATAAATTTCTATATTCTTTATCTATCAAAGTTACAATTACAACACCAAAATTTGAATCTACGATCATCTGCATACTATTTTAACTTATACACTTCTAAACCAATCCTAGTAGTTCGTATATCTGTATATTTAATACTAATTATGAAATTTTGAATATTAAAATGTTTTTTAAAACAATTTTTGAAAAAATCTTTGATTGGATATTTAATTAAGAAATCTTAATATATTATTTTTCTTTTTTTTTGATAGTTCAAAGTAAATTAAACCTATGTATTTTTTATAACTATGTTATTCATACGAATGATACACTTATCAAAATTACATAAATTTAATTTGTTTGGCTATAAGACCTTGGCCAGGATGTTATACACAACATTACATAACAAGATAGGCCTTAAATCCCTCATAGACTTGGGAACTTTGCATTTAGGAATGATAATGGTGTATTTTGATAATGTATTTTGTTTCAAATTGAACGGACCCAAATGAAGAATAATGTGGTTATTTAACTTTTAAGTAATTAAGAAAATTAAGTGTAATCTAAAAATTTAGTTAAATAGTATTAGTGCCTAGTCAATAATTAAATGAAGAATAATTGTTAATTTTGATATGAAATTTGCTAATTCATTATTTTGACCACCAAAGTGAATAAAATGTGTTTAATAATATATATCAGAAAAATTTATATATTTAAAAGTATTTACAAATACATATAAAATATGAAAAAATATATTTAAAAGTATTTAAAATTTTAGTTTATTGATAAGGCAAATATAAATTAACATATAAAATATGCATTTATGCAAAAAAAAAAAAAAATTACAAAGTCTTTTGATTACCAACATTTGAACCTAGTCCCTCATGATATTGTTTTAGAACATTTTACAACAAGATTTTATTTCGGTACAATCCATCTGACATAGAAAGTGATGTGTTGACAAATTTGTAAATATGATCACAGTTTTTATATCAAGTGTTAATTCACCCATGATAGAAAACTATTTCTATATTAAGTAATATTGGAGAAAAGATACACACTAGAAGGGTCGGGGTTAAATAGTGCATATAAAAAAACTCGCACTTTTTGAAATGTAGTGAAGTAGTAAAAACTTTGACAAACAAAGTATTGGAACGCAATAGACAAAGGAGCACAGATCTTTTATATCGGCTCATCTCAAACATAGAGACTACATCTAGTTCTCAATCCAACCAGATTGAGTTTTACTATCTTTTAAAAGATACAAGTATTCTTTAAATAAGTCATTTCTGGCTCAAACCTAAGTAGTTTTTGAAAATTCTTCACATAAATTTCCATCATAAAATTCTTGGGGACATTTCCGACGAAAATTCTGTCAAAAATTTCTGACGAAAATTGGTATTTTCGACGGATTTTTTTTCCAACAACACTTTTTCCGACGGATTTAAATCCGTCGAAAATCTGTTAAAAATACCAAATTCTGTCAAAAATTTACTTGTTTCCGTCGGAAATTGCCGTCGAAAATTGACATTTTTCTTGTAGTGGTAGAACAGTCTTTTGTAGAACCATTTTCGTGATATCCAAAATTTTGTTTTTTGCTTCTTATGAAAATCTTGTCTTTTTCTTCTTTAATAAACTTAATTTGAGAGTTCTGAAGTATCTTTCTTGTTTGATCTGTTAAGGAATAACGCATTAGATGGAATTTAATCTTAGTCTCATTTGGAAGTATTCAATTTAATGTCCTAAGACAAACTGTATACTTCGTCTGATTTTCTTCATCTTACAAATGATATATATCTTTCACATTTCGTCTAAGATGATATATCTTTGAAGAACGTTGAATTTGTTTAAAGAAAATCTTTTGGCTTTCATCATTAAAACTTAAGGGATCATCTTTTGTCTTAACACAAGATTTTTTTTATTTAACAAGTGACACGACACTTGACATAGAATGTTTTGGGGTGAGTCAACTTTATATCGACCCCAACCTTTCCAAGATAGGTGAAATGACACCCAATATCGAAAGAGTTTTCTATCACAAATGAAACTACACCTAACATAGAAAGTATTTTAAAAGTCACCAAAGATCCCCCAAATGTTCATTCGTGTTCATTGTCCTCATTGCACCCACCTCCTCTGTATCTTTTGTATTTCCTCAAGTTTTCATAAAATTAAATAAAATAACAACTTATTCCTTTGAAAAAAAATATAAATGAATTTTATTAATATGAGAATAGGTTTTGAAATTAGTAATTATGTGATATGTTTTATAATTGGGTTGTATATATTTTATTAAAGGAAAAAAAATGTTTGACCTTGGGTTAGTCTCTTTAACCAAAGCATGATGGCTTGGTTAATAAGTTTTAATTAAAGGGTCAGTCTTCAATATTCATTTTACTCTTACACTTCTCAACTTTCACTCTGAATGTCAGAAACACACAGAGAAAACCTTGAGGCTGAAGGAAAAAACCACCCCCAAGGATCCCTTTTTGATGTTAGACTTTTATCTTAGTAAGAAGGAGTATTTTGTATCGCTCATGAGTATGGGGTAAATATTGGATAGCATGATTGGCCCAAATTTAGTTTGCTTATTCTTTGTTTTGAAGAAGACCTCAAGAGCCACATTGATTCTTGCATTCTAGGAGATACTTGTCTATCTAAATTATATTATTGATGGTTACTGCTAATTGTACATTATATTGCTAAATTTAGTTGTGTAGATGTTGAATTGAATCCCTTTGAGAGCTTTTAGGGTACTATGAGAACCCCTAATTTTATATAGAAGGAGTAGAGATTAATGCTTTGCTTTTTGCATGGGGGGGAGAGGGTTAGGGAAGAATTGAAAGGAAAGTAAGAGGATATGTAAGAATTGATTTGATAGGAAATATGTAGAAAATGGAATGAAAATTATAGTTGATTGGTAAAGTGGAATTAGACGAGAAATAAGGTAAAGTTAGTATTTTAAAATTGTTTTTATGTAGTTATTTTTTTATGTAAAAATAAATTATATATGAAATTACCATTTTACCTTCTTTCTTTATTCACATTTGTTTCTATGTATATGAGCATGATGCATAACCATAATGTATTATCCATTCTACCATATTTGAATATGGTGATTTTCATGTATAATGCATTACCCATTAGCATAATGCATTACTCACAGAGGGGAACTTGTCTTTTGGTAACGCATTACCTATTACCATAATGTATTATCTACGGGAGAGATCTTTGTTTCTTCAATCATGGGCGCATATAATACAACAAAGATTATTTTTGTCTTTTCTACTCAATTTCGTGACAATCCCTTTATTTCAGAGGGCAAATTTTTTACCCATGGAACCCACCATATGCTCCACTCAAATATTCATCAATCCTCTCTCATAAGCATAGATACTTTTTGAATATACCTCTTAATCCATTCCTCTCCTTGACAATCCCTTTTAAATCCACCCTACCATGTGCATTATAAGTAATTGAATTGTTATTTGAGAAATTGGCTTGGTAATTGAATAATTAATTGAACAAAATAGGCATATTAGGCTTTAATTCGTGAATCGATCAATTGGAGAGGAATAGAAGTGAGAAAACCCTCAAGTTGTGCAATTTTTGCAATTTTTGTAAATAATACAAAATAACTATTGCATTGGGCATGGGGATCGTGGTTTTGATTGCCATGATCCATGAGAGTAGTGATGCTCTCTACCTCGATGGTCTCGAACACCAACGAGGCCATGTTTGGCGTGAAAGATTTAGAGGGCATGGATTGCTCTTTGTGGCTTAGGAACTAAGCGTATAGGTTGCCACACTAGGCATGAAAGCTTTAAGGAGCTTTCTGTGGCTATTATGCCAAGCATGAGTCTAGCCACATTAGGTGAGAAACCTCTAAAGAGAAAAAGGTTACTTTTTGTGAGGGTGACGTTGGGCGTGACTCCTTGAATGTGAATGTTGTGTAATTTTACAAGATGAGTCAAGTTAGTGGGTTTCTAATGTTGTCTTGAGTTATCTACGCTTAAGGAACTAATATATGATATTAAAAGTATTGTGATGACAATTACATTGAGATTCTTATGACATTAATGTTTTCTAAAGTATAAGTTAATGGCTTAGCCATTTAAGAAGTCTGGGCATGTCTTCCTAGCAAGTGATATAGTGAAATTATGAATATTGTGAATGTGTAACAAATGATATGTGTGTGTATCTTGCATGGAGTCATTATTTTGTGACATGCACCATGTGCATAAAATGGTTTTATTACAAAATATTGGTGTGAGTT